TGCCCGGGCTGCCCCCGACTGGTTGCATGCCCCCACCCCGATGCGCTGGGGGGGTGGGAGCTGCCCGGGGGTCTGAGCCGCTGCCCCCAAGCAGGTGGTGGATCGGCTCCTCTCGCTGCCGCCCGAGTTCTGGCAGCGCTTCATGGCGGAGGAGCGGGAGGACGCAGTGCCAGCGGCCGGCGGCAGTGAGCAGGGTGAGTGGGGGTCCCGGGCAGCAGAGCTGTGCCCGCCCGGCCCCCGGATGCCTGTGCATGGTGCCCTGGGGCTGGGGGGCAGGTGGGGCCACTCGGCTGTGCAGTGGGGCCTTCTCTCTGCCTGGGTGGGGGTGCAGGGGGCTCGCTCACCCCCCACTGATACCACGTCCCCTCCCCACAGAGCGGCTCTCCTGCCCCTTGCCCTCGTCTGAGACCAGCTCTGCCCCGATGAGTCCAGCCAGCGCCAGCTGCCTGCCCAGCGCCCTGCGCCCCTGCACCAAGCTCCCGTGAGTGGGGCTGGGGGCTGCCGGGCCGTGACAACCATGGGGTGATGGGGGGTGTTCCTGGGGGCTGCCCGGGGCTGGCATTGCTGGGGCTGGGTGGGGAGCTGAAGCAAGGGTCCACACGGTGGGTAGGGGGGTCCGAGCCTTGCTCAGCACCACCAACTCTCCTCCTCTGTCCCCCCAGGCGGGCATCGCACCCCAAGACGACCGGCCGCTTCTTCCCCTCCCCACTCTAGGGGTCAGACATGTTTCCTCCTGCTGGGGGGGCAGCACCGGGGTCCAGGCCCCTCCTGCCCACGGCTGCCCCCACTGCAGAGGGTCTCTGGCCCAGCGCCGCACCCCCGGCCAGGGCTTGTGCCCGTCCCTGGCGGCCCCCAGGCCCAGCGCTGGGGGCATGAGCCTGTACTTTTTCCCTTGCCCCCTGGGGTGAACCCACCAACCTGGGCCTCTCTCCGCACTGAGGACCAGCTTTTTGTTTTGAGGGACGGGACGGGATGCGCCAGTCCAGCGCCCCCGCGGGGTGGTAGGGCGTGCCGGTCTGGGGGGGCTGGGGGCACGGGGCACTTGTACCTTTTGGGCTGGTTTCTATTAAAGGCTTGTAGCAGAACGGCCCGGCCCTGCGCTGTCACGGGGCCCTGCGCGCCCGAGCCCTGTGGTCGGCTCCTAGCCCGGGCTGTGCTGTGGATCCTGGCAGCTTTCTGCACGGCTGCAGCACAGGGCTGAGGCCGCGGCAAGTGGGGCAGCTGTTCTGGGAAGAGCCCAGCCCCATGCCCAAGCCCTGTCTGGGTCCCATGCCAGCCGCGGTGTGCGCTCTGTGCTGGGTGCATGCGCGTGTGCACCGGGTACCTCCACCCATCCCCTCTCCCTGGCTCGCAGCCGTCTGCCTCGCCTGCCTGGCAGCCCGAAGGGGGGAATGAGCTGCTCTTGGCCGCAGGCAGTGGGTCCCCTGCCCCAGGGCTGGAGGTGAAACAGGGCCAAGCTCTGGGGCCAGGAGGATGGGTCAAAGGTGGCTCAGCCCCCAGCAGGGCATCTGCAGGAGGGTGGGGGCCTGGGGTGGATGTGTGGGTGCAGTTGCAGCCCCTTTGAGTCCAGCTTGACCCAAAGTTAAGCCCCAGGTACGGGCAGAGGCTGGGGCACTTCTATCCAGGCACCAGGGAGAGCTCGGTTCCCTGCCAGACTCCTGCTGATCTCCCCCCTCGCAGGTGTGCGCGCCCCTCTCCTTGGTAATGGCCACGATGCGCCGTTGCTCAGCCCATCCCTCCCTCCCTCTGCCGCCCCACCATCCGTCAGCCCTGCCTGGTGGCGTCTCTCCTCTCCCCCCAGCCCCGCTGACGCCATTCAGCTTTAGCTAGAAACCTTCACTCGGGTGGGCCCGTGGACCGGCCTGCGTGGCAGGTTTGGGAGATGGCTTCATTTGGGCAATCCTTCAACTGCCCCCAGGTCTTTGCTCCCTGGCCCTGCTGCCTCACCAGAAACCTTTTGGCTATGAGTCCGTCCTCAACACATGCAACTTCGCGCAGGGCGTTCCCACGGCACGGGGCACCTGTGGCTCCCGGGGCGCTGCCTCCAGCTCCCTGCCACGTTCCCACACCGTGGACCTGGTTCCCAGCTTGTTGCAGAGGTGCTGGCTGCAGCTGTGCCCCCTGGGGTCCTGGCTACAGGCTCTTGCCCCCCACTCATGCTGTCTTGTGGGGGCAGGCAGGGATTTGCCCCCTGCTCAGTCTGGACTGCCGGGGGGCGGGTTCCTCTTTCTCTGCAGCAGGGGCACGGCCTGGGCCTGGGCTCTCTGCAGCACCCACCAACCCCCCCGGCAGCAGCAGGACGTTGGCGGCTGTGGCCCCCCGGGGGTGGGGGCAGGGGCAATGCTCGGGGCTGTCGGAGGCAATGGTGTGCATCTCTGAGGTTGCACCCGGGGTTTGTCTGGGTGGGTCTGGAGGGAGCGGATCCTGCCTCGGGCTGGCTGTGACCCCATGGCTCCCCATGCTCGGACTATAATTCGATGAATGTTTAGACAACTTTGACTATTTTTGCCCAGTTTGCTGTGCTTTTTAACCTGAACGTACGATCTAGCCCACGTGCACGTGCCGTTGCCCACAAGCACTGACAGCCTCGGCGAAACCCAAACCTGCCCCGCTGCTCCACCTGCCAGTACCGCGTCTGCCCCC